GACAGGGCCAGGGCAGCGGTCAGGGAAGCGGTTCTGGTCAGGGAAGCGGACAGAGCCAGGGCAGTGGTCAGGGAAGCGGTTCTGGTCAGGGAAGCGGCCTGGGAAGCGGACAGGGCCAGGGCAGCGGTCAGGGAAGTGGTTATGGCCAGGGAAGCGCTCAGGGAAGCGGTTCTGGTCGGGGAAGCGGACAGGGCCAGGGCAGCGGTCAGGGAAGCGGTTCTGGTCAGGGGAGCGGACAGGGCAGCGGTCAGGGAAGCGGTTCTGGTCAGGGCAGCGGTCAGGGAAGCGGTTATGGTCAGGGAAGCAGTCAGGGTAGTGGTTCTGGCCAGGGAAGCGGCCAGGGCCAGGGAAGCAGTCAAGGTAATGGTCGGGGATGTGGTCAATAAAATGGTCATGGGAATTTTGCATAACACTTACTGGAGATCTTTTCAATTCAGTTCTTTATTCATATGGCATGGTTTTTCCCTCTTTGCTCAAACAGTTTAGAAAGATTGTCTCTCCCCCACCTCCACCTCCTCAAATAAAAAGAATTGCTTGATTGAAGAGTTGGTGTTTTTGGTATAATTTGCCTGTTTTCTCGCATAACTGCTTTCTGGCATCGTTTTACTGTACTTTTATGACATATGCAGCCTTGGTGAGCATGAGGCTTTCAAAAACACAAAATCTTACTAAGCCCAAACCTTTGAACAGTATTGTATTTAATATTGATATACATGTTATATTATCGATCTGAATATAATTTTCACTTTCAAAAAACTACACGTATATTGTATCTACCATGGTATAGGAAAATGCTAATCATTCAGAACATTATGGTATACATAGTATTAAGGTACCGTACTACAATCTGCTGCCATCATATAGTTGGAAAAATAATACTGTAACCTAAAAATTATTTGACTGTAAAACAAACCTTTTTTTTAGCCATGGCTGTTGCCTTCCTTATTCCGCTGTTGACTCCGGTGATCATGAAGGAATGGCCTACCATGGACACATCCAGTTCCTTCGCTACAAAGCTCTTAGAGGCATTCTCAAATCCAGACCTGTTGACAACATCCAACACATCAGGGCAGCGGTCAGGGAAGCGGTTCTGGCCAGGGAAGCGCTCAGGGAAGCGGACAGGGCCAGGGCAGTGATCAGGGAAGCGGTTCTGGTCAGGGAAGCGGTTCTGGCCAGGGAAGCGGCCAGGGCAGTGGCCAGGGAAGCGGCCAGGGCAGTGGCCAGGGAAGCGGTTCTGGTCAGGGAAGCGGATGGGGCAGTGGTCAGGGCAGCGGTCAGGGAAGCGGTTCTGGTCAGGGCAGCGGTCAGGGAAGCGGTTATGGTCAGGGAAGCAGTCAGGAAAGCGGCCATGGTCAGGGCAGCGGTCAGGGAAGCGGCTATGGTCAGGGAAGCGGTTATGGTCAAGCAGTCAGGGTAGTGGTTCTGGCCAGGGAAGCGGCCAGGGCCAGGGAAGCAGTCAAGGTAATGGTCGGGGATGTGGTCATTGAAATGGTCATGGGAATTTTGCATAACACTTACTGGAGATCTTTTCAATTCAGTGCTTTATTCATATGGCATGGTTTTTCCCTCTTTGCTCAAACAGTTTAGAAAGATTGTCTCTCCCCCACCTCCACCTCCTCAAATAAAAAGAATTGCTTGATTTGAAGAATTGGTGTTTTTGGTATAATTTGCCTGTTTTCTCGCATAACTGCTTTCTGGCATCATTTTACTGTATTTTTATGACATATATGCAGCCTTGGTGAGCATGAGGCTTTCAAAAACATAAAATCTTACTAAGCCCAAACCTTTGAACAGTATTGTTTATTTAATATTGATATACATGTTATATTATCGATCTGAATATAATTTTCACTTTCAAAAAACTACACGTATATTGTATCTACCATGGTATAGGAAAATGCTAATCATTCAGAACATTATGGTATACATAGTATTAAGGTACCGTACTACAATCTGCTGCCATCATATAGTTGGAAAAATAATACTGTAACCTAAAAATTATTTGACTGTAAAACAAACCTTTTTTTTAGCCATCGCTGTTGACTCCGGTGATCATGAAGGAATGGCCTACCATGGACACATCCAGTTCCTTCGCTACAAAGCTCTTAGAGGCATTCTCAAATCCAGACCTGTTGACAACATCCAACACATGAAACCAATTAAACACAACCAGCATAAAACCTCAAGAGCTGTACTGTTATCCATAAAAGTGTTTTTAACACAATCCTTGAATTGTTATGTGACCGCTGGGCATCTGAGACGGAGCTCCTAAGACAAGAGCCCTGATCAGGGGCCAAAGGAGCTTCTGTGTGGGATGACGGGGCACTTGAGAGAGCGGCAGGGGTCCCAATAGGGCCTATTGTGATGCAATGATGACTGACCTTTAACTGAGGGCTTGGATGAATGCATGTCAGAGATGACTTGGGGAAATACAAAAACAACATTTGTGCAAGAAACCACTACTTCTAACAACATTTGGCTTGCGAGAACACCGTTTAAGATTTTGTTTTTGCAGCAGCTTGGGCCAGAATAATTTTTTTAATGATCATAGCAATGAAAACCATCTAATTGCGATTGGAAACAAAACACTAATTAGAAAAGAATTTGCAACAAACACACACACAAGCAGTACATTTTTTGTTCATTTACTGTGAACCTACTTTCTCATTTTTTAACACTTTCACTGAAGAATGAAGTGTAAAATGAAGAATAAAGAATACTATTATTTAGAGTTGGGGTTCTTGGACTCGGACTTCAATTATGAATTAACTTGGACTCGAACTTGACTCGGACTCGGACATTTTGGACTTCACGTCATGTGTAATAAAAGATTAAAAAAATATAAAAGAAAAAAAAAGTAAGAACATAAAATTAAGACAAAAATACATTATTAATAATCGTCTCCCATTCAAACTCAATTGGTTAAGAAATAGGACTCAACAAGGTGGACTCGGACCCAACACTACAGTTATTTATCATATAAAACCAGTTATTATTCTGAGGAATAACAAGATAATATTCATAATAGCAAACTGTATTTTAAATAATATTATTATATTATATTTTTTATAACAAAAATAGTTTATTCTTTATTGTGTTTTAAGTTGGTTGCTTAACAACATGTCATATCTATATCCATACATGTCAAGGCTGCATTTACAAAAGGCGTTTAAAGGTAACGTATAGGAAAATATGTGAGGAGGGTGTTGCCCCGCCCCTTTTCAAGCCAGGTGCAGTGCGTTAACCAATCAGAGCTCAGACATAGGAGACGAAAACAAAGCCGAACGCTCAGATACGCATCTGCGCATGCGTAGCTTTTCTCTCCCTCACAGTTTGGTAAGGGCAGCGATGACTCCGGCCTTGACCAGCCGGCCGGGAAGTGAATAGGAGTTTTGTGGATTTCAACATTCTTTCCGTATTTCTTACTTCAATATGGTAAGTTACACAGTTTATTCTTTTGCCTCACCTAAAAGCACACATTTAGATCACAGAGTAGTGTGACAGGTGATTTCTTCCACAGGTTGTGCTCGTGCACCTGCGGACTTTAAAACTTCCGTCCTTCACGAGCTGCTTGTTTATCACCGACTAAAGAAAACAGTGTCATTTAGAACTGGTGTAATTCACCTAAAGTTGTTTTATTCAAAGTCTGAGCAAATGAATCGGATGTCATTTTAAATGCTGAGGGAGTTAAAGGTGTCGCTTTGGTGAAGTCATCTCATCTGTCTGGATAAACCGGTTGGTTCGTTTCCCTTGATACTGGACTGTCAGATTTTGACACTCAACAAGCAAATTGTTGTGAAACCTTTGTGTGGAGAAAATTTGCATGCAAAGTCCTGGTTTAGCTGACTTGATTTGGCGGCCAGGTAAACTCGTTTATTTGTTGTTCAAATAGAGTTGGCCACTGTGTGTTTGACGTTTGACTGCTGCTGAGCGAGTTTACAGAAGAGCTATCTGTTCTTCTGGTTAATGTGTGCAAGAATGAAGAAGAATGAGTTAAGAGTACTTTATAAACCAATCACAATATTACAAATGAAATATTAACATTTGCTATTATGAAATATTTTTTTATATTGCGTAATATATTGATAATATTGGGTAATGATATTTTAGCAATATATTATTTATTAATAATATTAGCACTTTATATCTTTTTAAATATGAATACATTTTAAAACAATACTTTAATACTCAAATGACATGAAAAATACGCTGTAAAAATATCATGTTGTTAAGTTTACTATTAAAATATCAGTCAGTAATCTATATTACTACTAATAACAATAAATTATGCTCATACATATGTGTTTGTATCAAAAAACCGTAAAATAATAAAATAAAATAAATAAATATTTTTTCAAACTGAGTCATATTTAATACAATATATTTGCTGTTAATAATTTAAAGAATGTAATTAAATGCTTAATGAAAAATACATTCATAAATATTTTTGTTTTTGTTTAGCTCTAAGGTTTTGGTAAGTGTTGGCAAAATCTCTCCAGAGTATTAATACAATACATGCAGGTCCACAATGCTTCATCTCTGATATTGTCTGTATGCATCCGAGTAATTACAAGTGATGAAGAAGTGGCCCTTTTAATTTCAAAGAGATAACAATACACTGCAGAATCTCATTTAAACTCCAGCGAGTGTGTTTGTAAGCATGTTCTCCTGTGTGCTGTAGCCGCTCACAGCTGTGTCGACTCCAACAATAGAAGGAAAATGAAATCAGAGCAACACAGAACTGAAATCTAAGCAGGAACAGGCTCAAGAGGAAGCTCAGAGCTTCATTTAAACCCTCCCCTAGTGAAACTTTGTGTGTGGCAGAGAGAGGGAGAGGGGTGTGTGTGTAAGGAGAGAAAGTGTGGAACGTAGAGATAAAGATGTATGTAACTTAATAGCTGTAGCACACGGTTTCCTTTCTCTTTTCTTTTCCTGTTGGCGTGAGATGGGTGTTCCACGCTGAAGAAATACTTCAGAGAATCATATTCGTCTGGAGCACAATAGTAGACCCGACGCAGTGCATGCTTCTGTTTCCTTGTTTTTTCCTTGTGTTTTCATCTTTCGTCTCTCCTCAGGATTTACTGAGGAAGCAAATAAACTCTTTGCCAGCATGTTTTGGTCATAATGAAGCAGCTGACGGTTCCTTTTCCCCACCTGGTGTTCCAGCATCTGTGTGCATGTGTGTTTGCGAGCAAAATGAGTTGCTTGCAGCATATTCATTAATTCTCTCGTTAAACATAACAATTGAATTTAGGAGGACAAAGCTTAGGACCCATTGCTTCTTGATTGGTTTGAGTTCTATGAAAAATGACCCATTGCCATTATCATGTTTTTACACTTAAAGAAATAGTTCACACAAAAATGGAAATTTACTAATTTTACATAGAAAATGTACTCACCTTCAGGCCATCCAAGATGTGGATGAATTTGTTTCTTCTTCAGAACAGATTTGGAGAAATTTAGCATTACATCACTTGCTCACCAATGAATCATCAGCAGTGAATGGGTGCCGTCAGAATGAGAGTCCAAACAGCTGATAAAAACATCACAATAATCCACACGACTCCAGTCCATCAGTTAATGTCTTGTGAAGCGAAAAAGCTGTTTGTTATAAACAAATTCATCAAATTTAACTTTAAAAACTTCAGCTAAAATACAAGTCCTCTATCCATAATGCTTTCTCTGGTGAAATGTCATCTTATCTGAATCAGGAGAGAAAAACATGCACAGATCCAGCTCCGTTTACAAGTGGAAACAGTTCTAAACAAATCTGTCATTCGATTTAAATCCACAGGTGATGGAAGTGTTGTCATAGATTATAGGCTCTTATTTTGGCCAGAAGTGACAATGTAATGGTAAATGGATTGTTTCTTGCAAGCAGCTTTTCACTTCATAAGACATTCATTCATGGACTGGAGTGGAGTGGATTATTGTGTTGTTTTTATCAGCTATTTGGACTCTCATTCTGACGGCACCCATTCACTGCAGAGGATCCATTGGATGTAATGCTAAATTCTCCAAATTCATTATGATGAAGAAACAAACTCCTCTAGATTGATGGCCTGAGCATGAGTACATTTTCATTTTTGAGTGAATTGTTCAGGTTGCTCTGGGCGAATGGTACCTGTACTTAGTGAAATGGAGTTTTAGCATATTGCATATAATGCAATTTGTCCCCTTGGAATTATAAGGTTCTATCTGACATTTTGAGTTATGAGTTAACATTTGAGTTAACATTTGAGTTATTCACATATTCTTATTCTGTGACAACTTATTTGCATTATGTGATGTTTCTTTTGTAAGCCGTGTACATTTTGGGCCTTTTTTTTAGAAGACAAAAAGGGTTCTATCTACAGAAGTCTATGGAATGCAAAAACTTTGAAGCTCAATATCTCAAAATTGCTCAGAATGCAGATAGAACCTTATAATTCCAAGGCGACGAATTATACTGTAGCTGTTTTTATGTAAAACAATAAGCAATATGCAATGCAACAATCAATAGACATTTAGAATAGTACTATGCTTGTTGTCATAGGACCGCATTACACTCTGTTTAATTCAGCAGTTGGTGTCTAGTCAAAATATTGGAAATAAAAACAATTAATTGTGTAGAAAATTTTCAAAAAACTTTCGACAGCATAATTAATGATTCAGTCATATTTAAAAGTGTTTCAGTTCATGAAAATTAATTGCACTGTGGAATACTGTATTCTGCACAGTGATTTAGGCTATACTGCACATTTTTATATTTCTTTACAACTGTCATTTGAAAAAAAAAATTTCTGTTATTATGAATGTCTCTGTATTGCATGCTGTTTTATTGCTCATCATTACTCATTTCTGTGAAGTTTTTCTTATGAAATGCCCTTTTCCAGCAATAAAAGTGAACAGTCCAGTTCCATTTTTTTGTGTGTTTTTAATCTTGTTTCAGAGGTGTGACTCGGGTTTCTGTTAATAGTTGTGCAAATGAAATGAGGGGGAGGAGAAATTAGGAGTTCTCAGAAATTTTGTTCTTAGTATCGTTGCATTGAGCTGATTAGTTCTTGTATGGAAAGGATTCACGCAGGGGTCCATCCTGCAGCTGACAGCAGATCTTTGTCTCGCGGATATTGAATCTCATATTGATTGGGTTTGTGTGACAGTGAAAAGGTTAGCCATAGTTCTCTGTCTGAAGTGCAGTTTGTCTTTTTCTGTGTATTTCCTCTTTCTAAAATTTTATCTGTGGACTTTTTGGAATTGCTGTTACAGACACCGCAAGACAAGAAAGAGGAAATATGGGGGAAATGGGATCAGAACACAATGCAGGCCAGATATGAACTTGCGTTTCTCTCATGAGCACCACAGCTCAACATATCTAGAGCTTGTGCACTAGTCTAGGTTATGATTCCATTAAATATTATTTTTGTACTTTTGAGGAATAAATATTTTGAAACAACAAATGCATTTCATCCACCTGTGTTCTTCAGCTTGACTCAGCTGTAACATTGCCAGGAAGGTTTTTGCATTGACTCTATGTCTGAGCAAAGTCGTGAGATTCACTGATTGAGCATTCAAAAGTTTAGTTAGTTCTGTTGTCAAATTTGTGCCAAACCACAAAGAATCTGGTGCAATTACTCCATGGCGTTTATTTGTAAACCTGAGATGCGACTTGTTGAAGGAACTGTTGTTAAATTGCACAGATGCTGAAACGAAAGAGCTTCTCTCAATCGAAGACGGTGATGAAATTAGTTGACAGATTGCTGGAAAAAATAAAGATTATTTTCATGTACTACCATATTTCCTGCACAGCTGTTCAAATGCAGTCTTCATCTTGGTGCATGTGTGATCTTGTAAATTTAAAGGAAAATGTAATAATTTTATGGTGGTTATGTGTGAAAATGGTTGATGGGAGGTAAATAGTAAGGAAACTGAAACACTTTGTAATATTCGCTATGAAATTACAGATTCGGTACAGAATGAAGTCCACCCACTTGAATCATTTTGGCCTTGACTCTAGTGTGAAACCTTTCTGTCTACCATCTGCTTCCCTGCAGCATCTGCAGAAAAACCCTGCATAAAGAGTATTTTATACATATATTTATGATATTTTTCCTTTTGAATGCATTGCAACCTTTTATAGTTTTCTATGAAGTATTGGTTTTATATATGATACAGACCAGTACAAAAAGCAACATTAATTTTAAATGAAAAGTAAAGGATTATTCACATTTAATTTAGCAATGGCACTTATACAGAGTGACTCTGTATTTTCATGACTGCTCAAAGGAACCGTCTTGGTAACTCATTACCTTTGGGGTTTGAACCTACAACCTTTGGAGAACCAACCTGGATCATTAACCACTAGACAACACCCACTCCAAAAGATGAAAGAATGAAACTAGCATTAATTAAAATGCATGTTCTCTTTTCCGACAGATGCACTTCCTGTTGCTGTTCAGTCGTCAGGGGAAGTTACGGCTGCAGAAATGGTTCCTGCCCCTCCCGGAGAGAGAGAGGAAGAAGATTGTGAAGGACATGACCACTATGGTGTTGTCACGAAAACCACGCACATGTAACTTCCTGCACTGGAAGGACCTGAAGATTGTCTATAAGAGGTGAGCATTCAACCCAGGCCCAAGGAGAATGTCCTGCAGGAGTAAATCTAGGGTTATATTCAGTATGTCTTCAGTAAGAGCATGCTGGTTTCAAACAAAATGACGGCGTTAGATTCAGCATTAATTAAAAGCCCAGCTGCTAGGCTCTCGTGTTTGGTCATTAGTCATCACAAGGTGTGAGCAAAAGACTCTAAAATCTTGCAAAGCGGACACCTAGTCAGCAGTCAAGATCTTATGTGGGCTAATTAAAATGCCACATGCGAAGATTTCTGCGTCCGTATCGAGTTTGTTGCCCCGTCCTGTGCTGTAGTTTTTAAACCAGTTCAGACCAGTTCTCCTGCCATTACTGATGTCATTAGCTGACGACATGCCCCTATCTGAGTCCTCCTTGTTTTCTGGTGAAACCTAGTGGCAGCTTTTTACACAATGGCCCCTCAATAGTGACTGAAAATGAACCCACATGCTCACAATGGGAAATATTAGTGCTTCATCTTTTTATTATGATAAATCAGTTAGAAGGTGTATTAGAAACATTTAGTCACTTCTGAAGATTAAATGCTCTTAAAGTCAGTATAAAATTGAATTTACAATAAATTTTATTAATGCAACTTTCCAAGTAAAACAAGACATCGCTTTTATTTATTCGGAATGGATTTGATCATAAAAAGGGAATGTTACATTGCTGAATGGAAGTTATGTGATAAAGAGCTTTTTTTAATCTATATAGAACCATATTTCAACCCTGTATAGTAGAAAATGTCCCAGAAGAGGGGGATTTTCGGAATATAAAATGCAAAGAACCACTGAAGAACCTTTGTTTTTGTGAGTGGGTAATGGAAATGTTTTTGAGAAAATGTGTAATTGTGCTTGTAAACTTTAATGCTTCAGAGCCTGACTATATTCTTGGTCACCGTTCCGATTTTTATGCTGCATCAAATCCATCTGTCAGGCACTGAAACATCGTGTTTCTGAGAGTGAGTTTTCACACTTGTGTTCCTGAGAGCCTGTTCCTCACACTCTTCTGGTTCAGATCTGTATTTCACACCTTTCTTAAACCTGTCTCTCTGTTCTTTCCTGTTGTTTTCCCAGTGTGACCTTTATAAATACGGAGATTTGCCATGTCAGCAGTTGCATTACAGAGACTGTAGATGGCAACTGTGAGGATAGTGTGTACTATTTTCAGTGTTTTCTTTTTTTTAATTAATAAAAATAAACGTAGGTCTGTGTTTCCCCACTTGTTTGTAGGTACGCCAGTCTGTATTTCTGCTGTGCTTTGGAGAACAAGGATAATGAACTTCTGGCTTTAGAGATTCTGCACCGTTATGTGGAGCTACTTGACAAATACTTTGGCAATGTAAATACATTCAGTTTCTTAATTTATCACGTCTGGAGCTTTTTTTAATTAATTTTTTGCATAGACTGAACACTGAATTTTGTTCTTTATTCTCTGTCTCTTTATTCTTTTTTTTTTTTTATACCAATTTCTGTCTGTATAATATTATCTTACAGGTATGTGAGCTGGACATCATCTTTAACTTTGAGAAGGCTTATTTCATCCTGGATGAGTTTCTGATGGGTGGAGAGATTCAGGAGACGTCCAAACAGTCTATTGCAAAGTCTGTAGAGGCCTCAGATATGCTGCAAGAGGTGAGACACTAAATTTAATCTGTTTTTAGGTTCATGTGTTTGAAAAAATGAAACGGAAAAATGTTTATTTATTTAACAGTATTAAAATGGGATTAAAAGAAACTATCTTCCATCCCTGTAAATTGCTATTGTTCTGACATTTTTTAAATAATAATAACACAATCTCAATCAGTGTTTCTGAGCCAGACATTTCAGATTCAGAAATCACCTGCAGCTGTTTTAATGGTGCTGCCCACCCAGTTATAGAGCTCTACTTTGGCCGTCACCTTCATAAAACATTATTGATTTGACAGAGAGAGAAATAAACAGACCTGTCTGTTTGAGACAACAAAAAGACCACATTAAAAGAATAGTTCACTCCAAATTGAAAATGATGTCATTTACTCGCCTTCAAAGCTGGCATATTGAGCGCTCACAGGACTATAGCATAAGGGGTATAAATGACACAAGGGTGAATAAACGATGAGCGAATTTTCATTTTGGAGTCAAGTGTTCCTTTAAAACCCATATGGCATCTGATCATTTGTTGTCCTTATATCATTCTAATAAGCAGGGTCCATACATCTGAAGGAGAGTTCACCTCTGCATGGAAAGGGAACCTGGAAATGTCACTTAATATTCTACAAAAGGGTAATCAGTTATGTGCCTGTTTTCTTCTCTTCAGACGATGGAAGAATACATGAGCAAACCAGCCTTCTGACAGCAGCTGACGTGATACAATGTGACAAAAGGGAAAGAAACCTGCCTCCGCAGTGTAGGTTGTGTCCTTCACTCAGGACACAAATTGTCATGGCAAGAAATTACAGACTTCATTCATGAGGGATGCAGAATTTTTTTTTCTTATTTATTATTATTATTATTATTTTCTTCTCAATGCTTGTATGAACTTTATCAATTCCACTCAAATTTTAATAGAACTGAATCAGGGTTCATGTTGTGTTTTTGAATAGGTTATGTCTTGTCAGCTTATAAAAATAAATGTAATGCAGAATTTCTGTGATGGCTCCAGCATGCATATACAAATGCAACCATAGATTCAGCTGATAATGTTCAACTTTTATATCAAAATCATTTTATATAATAATCATATATTTGCAATAACCTTAAACCTTGGCTTATCTGAAGTGCCTTTTCATGTTTTTAAACACGTTGCATGTCTCAGGAGACATTTAGTTCAAGAAAAAAAAGAAAAAAAAACACTTTTGATGAAATGTTAATGCTGTTTTATGAGCACACTTTGTTGATTTAATTAAAATTGTCTTTTTGATATGATTTAGTCTCAGGCAAGTGTTTGCAATTTTCTCTAATTAAATGCATCCGGTGCTTTCTAAAATCCCTCCAGCAGTTTATTTTTGTGCACTTTAATGGATTTGTTTTCTATTATTATCTCTTATTATGAGACTATGCCTGGCGCTGTTTTTAGGTCCTGTATCATCAAGTGGACATCCTTGGCTTTTTCTATGACCTCAAATGCAAATATTAATATGTGATTGATATTTTTTCTTCTTTTTCAAGATCCAGCACAGACTGGGTTTCATGTTTCTTGTTTAAAGTCATAATATGATATTTTTATGTTGAATCATGCTCAGTGTAATAAGGCAGCACAATACAGCGAGAGGAAAAATAATACAGTAATGCTTTATTCATGTTTCTCTTCTCACACTTTAGAACACGTACAAAATGATTTATAAATGAGAATCACATCCAACTTTATTGGTTTGATAATGAAATAGCTTGTAAAGTTTGCAGCAAGCGGAGTCCTACGACTACAGGAACATTCTCTTGATGCCAACAAAAGGAACAAGAAAACATTTCGAGGACCACCAGTTCATAAACGACAGATAAAATACACTTGAACTCCCGCACATTGATATACCATATATATTTACATCATATAGAATTCCATGAAAACTAAAGCACTTTAAACTGTTTACTTTTTTTAAAATAACTTTTGAGGAGATATAGGCATGTCCCACGAGTAAGCAATATTTTTTCCCCCCTTTCATACTCTGACAAGTCCCTTCTATGGCAGGATTGGCTAGTAGGAGCTCCTTACAACCGGCTTGCAATTTGGACAGTTCAGAAGTCGTTCATGTAGCCATAGCAACCATATCAAAGAGATAAAAGGTCAAGGGGTGGGACTTGTCAGAATACGAGCAGGAGGAAAAAAATACACACTCAGGCTCTTCACATTCCTGCAACCATTTTCCCGTGATACTCTTTACCCTCTTCTGTTCCAGGCACAGGTGGGGTTTGATCTACGGTCTCCTGTGCTGAATCTTGAGTGGGCGGCTTTTGGGGCGCCTCGGGCTCCTCTTTCCCTTGGGTGTCTCTTTTGGTGGGTGTGCTTTTTCCATTATCAACCTGATCAAAGAAATCTTTCATGGCCTCCTCATACAAATCATAAGGCAACTGTCCGTTCGTGGCAGAATCGATGGCTCTCTTGCGATCGCTCGAGCTGGTGTCGGGGTACTCAGTCAGGAGTTTGGCAGCGAGGAAGGTCGACTCTTCATCCTCATCCACTGCATCATCATCATAATCATCTTTTCTTTTGCTTGGAGCTTTGTTTAACTCGGACAGGAACAAGCTTCCCCGTCTTCCGCTGGGGTTGAAGTACTTTGCCATGGCTGTTTTGTAGGGCCTTTGCTTTAGCAAAGAAAATTTTGCGTTCTTGTTGGCCAGATTCCCTAACCCAAGGACTTTCATGATATCCTCAGTTTTGACATCAGGTGGGATATCACTCACTGTGACTTCAGGCTGTCGACCGTTGTAATACTTGATGACCCGGCTCTTGAACCGAGGTTGGCTGGGCTTCCTAGCCAGCTGGGTCTCAGGAAGGCGTTGTTGTTTTCTGGTTTCCTCCATGAAGAGCATTCCAACCAGGTCCTCTGGAGGCACCTGGAGCTTCATTGAAATAGCCGACAGCAGTTGTTTGATAGCCCTAGGGTCGATTAGAGAGGGTTGGGACAGTAGCCTCCTCCTTCCTTCCATCAGGTCCCGTTTTTGTGCCTGGTTTGTCATCTCCAAGACCTTCAACAGGTAGTAATCCACGAGTTTTGTGTCATCGTCTGGGTTCTCGTCATCGTCTTCAGTAGGGCTAGCTCGTCTTTCAATGGCCTCGTCCTGCTCTCCGTTATCTCCTAGCCCTCGTTCGTATTCTTCACGGCTTCCTTTAACTACTTCCTCCATCTCGAGCTGCTCCTCTAGTGGCACCCATTCCTCCCCTCCGGTCACATCCTCGTACGCCAAGTTTCTAACCTTGTAGAGGTCATTGTCGTCTTCGGCGTCTTCATCATCCTGGTTCTCTCGCTTCTGGTTCTGCGCGGCAGACAGTTTACCAAGCTCTTCGAATATAGAGCGCATGTTGGCGAGGCTCTGAGGGGTGTACTGCTCGTCCAAATCCTCAGTCGCACGCTTGCTGTCCCTGCCGTTCTCCTCGTCCTCAAACATCAGTGGATACTTCTTGTGCGGCTTCACGAAGCCCCCGTAGTCTCCAACAGGGCTCTCTGCGTCTGCCACCGGGCGTCTGCTCTTGTGAGGACGCCGCTCATTTCTGGGCGCTGGCTGGCTTTCCAGAGTCTCTCCAGCTTGTTCAAGCACCCGCAGCAGAGATCGAACCCACTGTGGCACCTTGTTATCAGGCCAACGTGTGGCGTCCTCATGCGTGGGTGTGTTCTCGTCCTGTAGGGAGGCGAGCTGCACTAGAAAGCGGAATTTGTCCACCTCGTCGTAGTCCCCTGTTGGACTCTCTGGTCCATCGGCTCTCTGCTTCAAGCTTTCGATGTACTCCAGAGCTTTGATCATATCGGAGCTGGGAGCAAGGAAGCCACCCTGGTCTCCGCCTCGCAGGCGATGGTGGCGCACGGAGGTGCCCTGCACGGTTAGTGTTTGGAGGAGGGTAACGAGCAGGACTGCCACCCCTCCGGCGGACAGTTTCAGTAGTGACAACATCATACCGCCTAGAGATAAACAAGCACAAAACAGTTAACCCATGCAGTCTTTTTATTTATGGTGCAACCTTGATATTTAAAACCAAAATGCATGTAGTGTAGCTAAAATTCTGTTTAAGTTTAAACTACCCATGAAATCAGTTCTTAGAATTGCTAATATTGTTTCCCAGACCGAGAAGAAGCGACGCTCCGAGCGCCAGAGCAGCAATGAGATCAGTCAGAACACAACATGTTTTTAAATGACAACAGCACCGGATGAGTCACCGCCTGTTGTCAAGGTAACCTTTCACTTGTGGCTACGGATCTCTGAGAACAGATCTATTGATATTTTCACGTATGTTTGTAATAACAAATCTCGATTTAAAAGATCAGTCTAGCTGAAATACATTTCACTGATCTTTTCGCGACGAAATCGAGTAGATAAACCAGAGATGAGATATGCTGCTCATGAGTGATAGTATCTAATCAAGCAAAGCCGGAAAGAAAAGGAACAAAAGCTCTACTCCTCTTTAACCCTCGCAAAGCAGACTAGCGCATACGTTAACACGTTTTCACAGAGCATAATTTTGTCAACTCAAAGAAATGAAAATGAGTCGTCGTACCTTTTGTGTAGAGCTCAGAGAATGTGAATGAGCGTGAACAGCATGTCCTCCGTGTTGCCTCAATGCGCTTCGGTTGTGTTTCAGCACCGGACAGCTCCCCGCGCTATATGAGGCGGCACCTGACCAATGCGTCACCGATGCTCACGCAATACCGAGGCTGTGCATGCATTCGTACCGATGGTAACCATTCACAACGTTTATCTCTGGGAAACTAAACCTCATGCATTAACCTCTTGGTCTATGTTTTAGGTGTGTTTTATTCATAAAGAAGAGGATAGTGCGGTTGGTGAACAACAGAAAGGTATACCTACGTTATAAAGGATTTTAACATAGTTCCTGTCTAAATACAGAAACGCGTTTACAATACAGTGAATGTATTATCTAATGTATAATGCAATAAAACTGTTAAATTGATTTTAGCTGCCAGTGTTATACATAAGATCCAAACAAGACGGTAGAATGTTTCTGAAGCTTCCTAAAGAGGAAATGCCATATGATTTTTACAATTGTAAAGCTAATTATGCTACACATTCAGAAAAAAAGAAATAAAGCTCCTACTGGGGCGGTACCCTAATGCACAAACGATAAAAGGTACTTCTTTATACCTTATTTACCCCTAAATGTTGCATTAGTACCTTTTAAAATGGTACTGGCCTTTTTTATCTGAGCGTGGAAACTATGGTAAATTAAATTGCAAAACATTTCTGTTACAGATACATCAGTTACTTTAAAAATATTATTTAAGTAATGAGGATATCATAGGTGTGCGATTGTAAAAATGGTTTGTTCGCTGTCTTTCTGTACACACAGGCGTCACAGGCGAGTTAAATCGTCAGACGATGAGTCACACACACGCACAAACCCACTGTGGGACTCATCGGGGAGAGCAAGGTCTCAGATAAATATACATCTGCCGTTTGTGGATCTCTTCCACTGTCCCTAGACACCTACAGTCCAGAGCATCTATCCTGCGGTGAGGCCTGTCAGCAGCTGAATTATGTGCCCTAGTGACATTAGTGCCAAGATGACACTCATTTGTACTTGATCACTTTTCCTGGAACACAGACAAAACGTCTGCGGAGAAACTTTGTTCTTTTGAGTTGTTTTTCAGAAGTACATAGTTTGAAGTATTTTTAGCTGTACTTTCCAAGTACAAAAAGAAAAGAAAAAAAGAGTTTTACTTTGTTTTGCAAAACCACCTAACTTGGGCCTATTTAAGTTATTTTTGACATGCTATCCTGGGTATTTAACCCTTGTGCTGTGCTGAATATTCTTTGCCTGATTTGGTGTTCCTGATCAAAAATGACTGGCCTTTTTGTTTTTTATTTAAAATTTTAAAAAAAAGAAAAAAAGAGTTTTACTTTGTTTTGCAAAACCACCTAACTTTTTAAGTTAACTAACACTATTTAAGTTATTTTTGACATGCTATCCTGGGTATTTAACCCTTGTGCTGTGCTGAATATTCTTTGCCTGATTTGGTGTTCCTGATCAAAAATGACTGGCCTTTTTGTTTTTTATTTAAAATTTTAAAAAATCTGCTATAATATCAATAAATCTTGGATTCAGTCTTTTTGTCAGCTTGTTTCTTTCAATTAGAACAGGCTTTGTATTTCTTTTTGGAACTGATTGATCATAAGCCTCATTGATCTTAACGTATGCACCTCCACCAATCATTATTTGTCGACCTTTTTTGCCAATGAGGTGCATTAGCACTTAAGAAGAGGTGCATAAGCTGCTCAATGAGGCCTAAGATCAATCCGTTCCAAAAATAAATACAGAACCTATGCTAATTGAAAGAAAACAAGCTGAAAAAAATTTGAATCCAATATTTGATAATAATATAGCATAATTTATAAGCATTTTTTGTGGGTTGGTCATTTTTGATTGGGAACACAGGTATAATAAAGTGGGGGGAAAAAATAAAGTCAAAATCCAATTCCATAACGCTTAACTAGCATTTTTGGGAAAAAGAAAATCTCAAAATGACCAGAACACAACATGAGAGTTAAGTTTCACAAGAACTTTTAGAAAACCATCTGGTGCTTTAAAGAACCCAGAAACCAATATGCTGGTCTGAAGAAGATAACATTTAACGTCAGGAACTTATATTAATCTCCGGAGAGCCATATAAAAAAAAAGGCATGTCCCTACAGCACAGAATCAGAACAGCGCATTTATTTCTTCATTAAAAGTGCTCTGCGGTTTGTCGGCATATTGTTTTTTAGCACATACGGATTCTGGACTCGTAACCCACAGTCAGCTGACTGCACTCTGGGAAGAGAGGGGTGAGACAGGCCCTCCTGTTGTTAGTGGAGCAGTCACATGGTCAGATGAGTCATAAGGCTGTGTGTGTGCATTATTGGATGTTTCCATGGCTGTGAAACCAAACAATCTTTTCTATTTTTTGCTTCTTGATTCATAAAAAATACATATCTTCTGACTTCCATTAGCAATCAGGAGGGGTTCTAGGTGTTCTCCTGAAAAGCTTTCAAAAACTCCTCCCTGCTTTCTCAGTAAGATTAAAAGGAAATCAATCCACAACCCACTGAACTTCTCAATTTTCTCCCTTTAACGATATTAGAGCATCCCCTCTGTTGATGTGATGATTGTTCTAGCAGAGACTGGCTAGTGGATGGGGAAAACAACGCTGTAGAGATGACTCTGAAACCCGTCTTGCTGGAGTTGGCTATTAATAGGCGTTGTGGAGGTGTCAGCAGGAGGTTACAGTCATGTGTGCGTGGACCGTGACGGACGATCTGATAGGCCGAGAGACGTGTAGGAGGCTTGACGAGGGATTCTCTTGGTATAAGCAGGATTCTGCACATTAATTAGGTCTAATGAGCAAAGCCGGAATTAATGATTTTATGTTTTCACATGAAACTGAGCTTTTTTTTAGTAGAGTGTTAGTGTTAGTAGAGTTTAGCCAGTAGAGTGGCTAAAATGAGGTCTATTAACCATCATACATTTTAAGGTATCAGAATGAAACAATATGTCTGATATTCTAAACATATTAAAAACAAGATAAATGTACCTGACACGCAAAATTGAATTGCATACACAGCCAAGGAGCTTGCTGCTTTACATTTATATGGCTGGTTAGCATTCAGAGCAATTCACAGTACGCTTTCAGAGTACCTTTGAAACCCTCCACCTTCCCCAGCTCCACCTGTATAGATCTGTTAACGGTTATTTTATATGCTATTTGTGCAGCAGCAGTATGTCTTAAATACTCACAGCACCATATCGGCATATGTATTGGCAGTAGCAATTTCTTTTACTTGTTTTGCACCACCAGCAGCAGCAATAATCTACAACAGCAATATCCAGCAGCAGCAATTCAGCAGCGTAGCAGATCTATTCCACCAAGACCAAATACATTAACATTGTCATATTCAATACCATGCTAAAATCTTCAGAGAGTTGTCATGACAGAAAGTTTTTTTTAAAAATCTAATTCCATTGGCAGTTTTTTTAAGAATAAATCTTTGCAGTAATGTTGGGATGCAGATAGATCAATAATGCCTGTTTTGCTTGAGCATGTCACACTTTCTCATGAAATTTGTACATTTTTTTTTTTTTTTTAGCATTTTTGCTAAGGTGAAGAAGTCTTGTATTATGCTTTAATCAGCAGAAAAACCAGTCTTCCTCTAAGCCCAGTTACAGCTATTTGTTAAATTCTCAGTTGATTTTCACATGCATGACATTTATTTTATGCCTAATACTGATTTCACAGTTATAATTATGGCCAGTGACAGAAGAAAAAGCAAACAAGAGCCACATGTTTTCTGCTATCTGTGGGTGGATGAACAGCGAGTCTCTCTCTAGATACGGCTCAGGTCTCTCCTTCAATGTCAAAGTCCAGAAGTCATACTTCTGGTCTCAATTTAAGTCAAGTCAAGCTGGTTTTGGTCACTTAAAGGAGTAATAGCATACCTCTCTTCAAAAAGTCTCATGTTTTGAGGTATCATGTTCATTGCACAAAATTGTTACTTAGCATTTGTTCAATTTGCTAACCCAAAATGTTATCATTGCTATATTTTATGTACTAAAACCATTAATTATGTTAATGTAGCTGAACTGAAGGAGCCTAGAGCTTTGAGAATACAGCAGATTTTTGTGTGTTCTGTAAACTGACAGTTTGAGTAGAGATTATATGCTTGGCCTGTTCTGAAGGCTGTTGATTTGATTTGGCTCAATGAAAGCATCCGTCACCCAGAGCTGTGTTCAGCATGCTAGAATGGGCTGACGGCATAGCGGACGGAGGAAGGGAGGAGGTGGAGAGGATGAATGTCAATGAGAATAGAAAGGGAGGACTGCATCGTCTCTCTGCTGTCATTCTTATAAATACAAGCAATGAAATCTATCAGTCAATTAGTTCTTTTTTTACATTCTGCATCCCTTATGCTGTTCATCGTCTCCATATCTCTGTCTCTTTCTATTTCTCTCTCTCTTTTTCCATCTCTCCTTCCCTCTGGTTGCTGGGGAGATTGACAGCAGCGTTGTGCGGTTCCTGGAATCGCAATGAAGGGTTGTAATTCCAAAGTCAACAGAAACCAACAGGCACCACAATGGTCCTCAATACACAGCAGTCTGTGTGTGTGTCATGGAGAGAATATAACAGGTACTAAAGTGTGTGGGAATGACTCATAGATCATAGATGTTTGTTTTTATGCATAAGTATACCCACACTTGCAGCAGAACAGCCAATTTATATTGCTCAGAGTTTGCTCTTTTATAACTCAGAAGACATATGCTAATGGGTTTTTCAGTTAAGTTTAATTTAAGTAGGCTTAGTCTATTAATGCAGTGGTTCCCAACCCTGGTCCTGGAGGCACCCCAACACTGCATGTTTTGCATGTCTCCTTAATCAAACACACCTGATTCAGGTCATCAGCTCATTAGCAGATACTCCAAGACCTGAAACTGGTGTGTGAGAGAAAAGAGACATGCAAAATGTGCAGTGTTGGGGTGCCTCCAGGACCAGGGTTGGGAACCACTGTATTAATGCACCATGAAGGACGATAACTATTGACTAACTATTAAGTTTTAATAATCATTTTAATTCTAGGAGAATAAGGAAGTTCACACCACAATATAATGGCAATG